GATAGATAGATAGATAGATAGATAGATAGATAGATAGATAGATAGATGTAGACTGTGCTGTGAAGAACAACACAAAAAGTGCTCCAAAAACTGAAGCTATATCTCACATTGGTAGCTCATCCAAGAGAAGAGCATAGACATAAATCATGAGAGAAGAGGTAGAGCAGGATTAGAATAAAGATTGACCTGAGCTTTGCATGGTGAAGGAAATACTAAGAGGAAGCAGCTGGGATTTGTCTAGAAAATCATTGCAGTATGGCCAGGAAAAGGGTTCTGTGAGTGATTCATAGGAACTTTTGGTTATAGGGTTACATTAAACGTCTTACATTGGTCGTCTCTTTAAACCACAGAAACTTCTTTTAAAACACAGAAGGAAATCTCCTTTATTGCAATAGCCCGGAGGACAGTTGCTCAGGAGGCCAAGGTGGTGGGAAAGCAGCAAGTTCCAGTCTGGCCTGGACAATCTGTGCAAGGTCCTGTCTCTAAATACTGTCAACAGTTCTGGAGATGTCAACTGGTGGAGTACCTGCCTGGCTCTTCCAAAATCTAAATAAAAACAAGCCACAGTCCTAATTTTGAACACAAGCTGTAAGATTTGCTGAACAGCGTGAAGAAAGATGGAGGAACTGAGCATTTGGAGAAGTCACTGATAATTGCTGTGAGTGAAGACACTCTCCGAAGGCAGGTGAGGTGATCCTTGGCAAAGCATTGAAGCCTGTCTCAACAGGAGTTTCTTGGAAACTAAATAAGCTGAGGAGCAATCTCTAAACTCCCTTCTGTGACTGGGCAGATGGCTCAGCATTTAAACATTTTCTGTGCAAGCAAGAGTGCCCAAGATCCCAGACTCCATTTAAATGCTGTGTATGTGTGGTGACCTGCTCATAATTCTAGTCCAGAAAGGTGTGCAGAGGACCCTTTGAGCTACCTAGCTAGGCAGCCTACCACTCCTTATCAGAGAGCCCTACGTTTGATTGACAGATCATACCTCAAACAATGAGAGGAAAGCAGGATCTAGGAAGATTCAAACTATGAACTGAGCTTCCACATGTTCACAAGCACACACATACCTCACACTTGCCCATTTGCTTACTTCTATGCATGCACGCATACCATACACATAAAAAATAGAAAAAGAAAAAACTAGCTCCAACTCCCCTTTGAATATTGAAAGAAGACATAAGACTGGAGAAGAAGTTACATAGATCAAGTATTAGCCTAAGAAACTGCAGTCACTTTGGCCATGGAGTAAATACAGCAGCAATTTGCTTTATATACAGTGATCCGAGTTAGCTAGCTCATCTCTCACAACAGAAAAAACTGGGTCACCTGGTGCTAATCTTGAACCTTATTGATTTTCTACTTTAACAATAACAAAAAGGATTGGGCCATACTGGGAAGATAAATCCTTTCATGGCTCCTGGATATCTAACCTCTCTCCAAACAAAAGAAGACAGTTAAATAAAACATTGTGAAGAGCATTATAAAAGAGGAAAAAGACACCTCTGACTATAGTACAAGGGAAGACCTCGGTGTTAAAACTGAGATTGAAGTGGTCTTATCTTATTTTATTTTATTTATTTATTAGTTTTTTTTTTTTTTCAGAAGAGTAAAGAGAGAAAAGAATAGCACAGACGGGGAAGTCACCCACACGTTAGGAAAGGCAGAGCGCTGACAGAGAGTTTGAGAGTCAAATTCTGGTAGAGAAGCTAATGGAATTCATCTCACCCACAGGGAAAAGGGACAGAAAATGGGACCCAGAGCTCAGCACAGGTCAAAACCTAAGTGCCTGCCTGTCATGTCAAGAACTTCATCTTTTTCAAATATGACTGCACAAAGCTCCCATTTCTCCTTATACATAACTCCATTTTGGGTTTAAGTAAAGTTAATATATGGATCCCAGAGATTGTTAGAGAAATTACAGAAACTTGGAATTATACTAGGATATTATTTAAAGAAAATTAAAAAAAAAACTTGCGTGGAAATGGAATAGAAATAAATGCAAAATCCGTGGTCAAAGCAAGTGTGTGTCTAGCTCTTATCTCTGTCCCAGGCCAGTGTGTCATTTGGTGTTACCAGGAAAAGGTGGAAACTCCTTCACATGGGACATAATTTGAAGAAATAGGTTGTTTGGAGCATGTGCTTTAGTATCTATCAGGATGCCGGCTCTGTCTTTTTCCCCCCTCTCCTAAATCACCATGCATCTAATACTCATTCTTTTGCCATGTGTTCCACCATGGTGCTCTACCTTACCACAGGCCTAAAGGGATGTAGCTAAGTTATACGACAAGCATGAAACAAATAGATTGTTTTCTTTTGTGACTATCTGTGATATGCCCAGCCAGCGGTGTAAGGCTCACAGCACAGTGAAAGCTTCACATTTGCCATAAAGTAGATTCTGATGCTGATTTTGTGAACTTTGCCAAGAATTACAGATAAGAAATTAGAAACAAATCCTGCTGAATACATTTCCTGGCTATATTTTTGTTCTGCATTAATGTTCATTTATTAATTAAATATCTGGAGCACCATGCCTAGCTACTTATCAGTATAAGGAAAACATCAACCAATGATTGTATCTCAGAGCAATGAATCCAAAGGTCCATTCTTTCAAGCAGGGGATAATTAGAGGTCTCATGTAAAGAGACTAATCACAAATAATTTGTTAGATAAACAAGAAAATAAAACACATTTTGAAAGAAATGAAGCATAGAGTATGTAAATGGCCATGTTAGAAGAAAACCCTATGAAAACAGGACATTAAAGGAGCTAGACTGCTCTGTTTGTATGACACAGCAAGAATCAAGACCCAAAAGTCTCTTCCTGTGGCTGGTAGGCTAGGGATATCTGGAGGCAGACCTGCATTTTGAGCTCTTCCTCTGACCAAGAACATTGCAATGGAAGTGTGAAGTACATACTTCAAGTACATGATATTGAATCAAAGAGAATAGTAAATAGGTTATGAAGAAGGACTCAAGTGCCAGAGAAAATGAGAGATTGAGCCTAGTCTCACTGGTTAGGTGCTTTCCTAACACATGCAAGGCCACAGATTTCACTCTCAGCACCAGAAACGACAAAAGGAAATTATATGCATCAAAATGACATCCGTACAAAGAATCGTTTAAAAGAACAGTGCTTTGACACAGAGAATTGTATGATCAATAAGGTTGCTAAATATGAGTGAAAACTTGATGCCTGCCTCTAACAGCAAAAGCAAATGAAAACTCAAATCTGTGAAACTCTGATATTTGAGAGCTGTTTCTCCTGTGTCTTCACCACTAAAAAACGCATGCTTTGTAGTGGGTGTGGTAGCACATGCTTATAACTCTAGCGTCCAGAAGTCTGAGGCAGGATGATTACAGTTTTGAGCCCAGCTGGGACAATATAACAAGACATTGTCTCAAGATTCCAAAATCAGGAAGAAAAGAAACAGACCTACACAAAGACAGATTTTAAAAAGCTAGTCTGAATTGGTGTTCATCAAGAGTGAAATCTTTGCCTTTGCTGCCTTTTCATGGCCCAGTTACACCATAGAAATTAAATTCTCTAAGAGCCAAAGTCATGGAAGCAAAAAGCCATGTGCTGTAAGTGTGCTAGCTACTACAGATAAAACGGAACTTCATGGAGGAGACCCAGCTCACTGAATTTCCCATTTTCAAAGTCTCTTTTCAGGCTCATGGTCACCAAGATGTATGAATAGAGAGGTGTAATGCACAACCTCTCCTTATGCATGAATTTCAGCACTCACAATGTTATTTCACCATGAAGACTGTCATCAGAGACGCTCTTTCCCTCTATTGGGTCAAGCTGTGTTGAATTTCAGTGCTAGTTTGTTATTGCATGGGCCCAGTCTCTTGTCTTCAACTCTACATAGACACTAGTCTACATCATAGGGTGCAAATATTAAAGATCACCAACCCCCATGGTTTGAATGAAAAATGTCCCACCTAGGCTCCTGTATTTGAACACTTAGTTTCTAATTGGTCACACGGTTTGGAAAGGTTATGGGGCCTTTATGATGTGCAGCCTTACAGGCAGAAATATAACACCGGGGAAAGGTTTTGCTGTACTGCCCTACTTCCTGCGAGCTATGACTTGTTTAGGGTCCACCTAGATGCCACAAGATTACCATGAGGCACATTAGCTACAGCTCCATTATTTTGCTGTGGCAAAGAGGCTAAACCTTTCTGATTCTGTGTTGTGGAATGGAAAACCAAAGCCACCTGTCAGGGCAACATATTTTTCCTGCAATAACTGTCCATATCAAAGTAGCTTGTGTATATCATAAAGAGACTAAAAAAATAAATACAATGAGAATTGCCTAACATTGCCTAATTATTTCCCAATTTAAGGGAATTGGGAAATAATTTAAATTATTAAATATAACCAGTGAGGTAAAGTGAAAGGACGAAATACAAGAAACTAAGGTCTGGATGTGACAGAACAACAGGAGTGATGAGTGGAGCTGGGCTCAGCAGCTCCGTCCACATACATTGTTGCTATTACTCAAAGATTTACCAAGTACATGACAGCAACTTTGACCTGTCTGTCTTTATCTCTCTCTCCTTACCTGGCCAACAAGGGAGTGTGCCTTCTCTCTTGCATAATAGAACAAATCTTCCAAAATTCTAACAGCACAAGACACTAGATGCTAGAAAATAAACAAATATACTGCAAGCTTTTAGATTTCTTGAGTAGACTCAAATTTTTATAATTCCTATTGAATCAAGTTTCTTTATTTCATGGGTTTAACAACACTCAGTAAATTTTCTTGAAGTAACTTCATGTCCTTTATCACCCTCTTTTACAGACTGAGGGACAGTATACTTTGTCTGGGTAATTTGAGGAAAGAAAAAAAATGTGTCAAATGGATTTATGTGTCATGGTACAATGGCTTTTCCCTTGTATTGTTTTTCTGTCTCAATAATCTTGTAAGGAAGATGTGTTTTCTGCTCCTCAGGTAGATAGGAGCCTGAGACTGAGCCACAGTTCAGTGAATTGTCCAGGATTACAGGGAAGACACATGGAATAGACTAAAGAAGTCCTTGCAGAGGACAATGTCTCTGGGCCTCTGTAAGGCAAAGGAGTAAACGAGCAGGGAGCCAGGCAGGCTCTGGTGTCACCATTCTGAAAACCTTGGCTCTTGGGTTTTTTGTTTTTTGGGGGTTTTTGTTTGTTTGTTTGTTTGTTTGTTTGTTTTTATTTCCATTTATTTACTTGACACCCCAAAGGTGCCCCTCCCTCCTCTCTTCCCGTCTCCCCTTCCCTTCCTTCCTCCTTCCCATCTCCCTTTCCTCGAGAAAAGAGGAGTCCCCCCACCCCCGCTCCCGCCATATCAACCCTCCCTAGCATATCAAGTCACATCAGGACTGAGCATATATCCTCATCCCCGCCAGCCAGCTAAGGCAGCCCTGCCAGGGAGAAGTGATCCAAAAGCAGGCAATAGAACCCATGTTAGAAACATCCCCCCTCCCTCTCCATTTGACAGGCAACACATAAGAAGACCAAGCAGCCCATCAGCTACATATGTGGAGGGGGCCTATGTCCAGACCATGAAAGGTCCTTAATTGATGTCTCAGTCTCTGAAAGCCCCTATGGGACTGGATTAATTGTCTCTCGGTTGATCTTCTTGTGAGGTTTCTGTTTCCTCCAAGTCCTTTCATCTTTACCTCAACATTTCCACAGGACCCGCCCCCCCGCCCCGGGGGTGGGGAGGAGCTCTGCCCCATGCTTGGCTACAAGTCCCAGCATCTTTCTCTATCTGCTGCTGACTGGCTCCTCCCAGACAAGAGTCAAGTTAGGCTTCTGTGGCAAGCAGAACAGAGTATCACTGAGAGTGTCAGGGGTTGGCTCTCTACCATGGGGTCGGTCTTAGGTTGGGCCAATCGCTGGTTGGACATTTCGTCAATCTTTGTTCCCTCTTTATCCCTGCACTTCTAGTAGACATAGTAATTTCTAGATCACAGGTTTTCTTGATGGGCTGTTGTTCCCCTCCTTCCACTAGTCCTGCCTGGCTAGAAGGAGGTCACTTCAGTCTTCACCCCACTAAGGAGTCTCAGAGTCATACCTATATCCTCCCATGAATCTACCTTGTCACAGGCCTCCAGCTTGGCAAATAAATGTCTCCCCTCAGTTTCCTTTCTTGTTCCCAGCCTTCTCACCTCCCATCTCAGTTCTCCCCACATTTGATCCTCACATTTGATCCCCACATTTGCTTCCCTTCCCATTCCATCCCCTGCACAGTTCCCTCTCTTCATCCACTTCTGCTGCCTATTCTATTTTCCCTTCTGAGTGCCATACCAGCTTTATTTGTAATAGCCAGAAACTAGAAACAACCTAGATGTCCCTCAGCAGAAGACTGGATACAGAAAATGTGGGACATCTACACAATGGAATACTACTCAGCTATTAAAAACAAAGAAATCATGAAATTTGCAGACAAATGGATGGAACTAGAAAAGATCACCCTGAGTGAGGTAACCGAGACCCAGAAAGATGACATGGTATATCCTCACTTATTAGCAGATATTAGACCAATAGTCCAGGATAACCATACTACAATCCACAGACTCAAAGCTAAGTAACAAAGAGGGCCCAAGAGAGAGTGTTGGCTCTTAGTTTCTATGCCCAGTAGGATGTTTCTCAAAAGACTGAAGCTCAGGCAAGGCAGAGAGAGGTAATCTAGGCCAGATACAGCTTAAAGAGAACAGCTCAAAGAAATAATTTGCATTATTGAAGTTTCCCAGATTCTTTTCACTAAGATTTCCAAGCCTCTTCTTTCTGCGGTTGTCATACTATCAAGATTTATGACCTTGAAAATTTAAAATTCCATTTATTAGGCAATAAAGTATTTTTGAGGAATTAATAGCCTATATTATTTTTTTTTCTTTTTCTGCAAGATTTAGGGTATTTAGGGTAGGGTGCTTGAGTACTTTCATACCCAGTTTATTTTAAACTTTTGAATAAAAGCTGTATCCATTATAAGTCAAAAGCCCTGCAATCAAATTGAGCAGTGGATCACTGTCTGGAAATCCAAGAGAAATGTGTCCAGAGTTCAAAGAGAGCATTTCTCTGGGGTTTAGAATAGTTCAGAGTACAAGGTGAAAATAAATGAGGATCTTGGAGTTCAGTTCTCTGACACAGCAGTCACAGCACAGTTCTGCAGAGGTCAAGGAAGTCTCTGCAGGTGTCTAGAATCCACATGGAAGAATTTGAAGAAGCTGTCACTGCTTCTTCAACAGAGCCAGATGTTTGGCAGCCTGGGGTGGGGGAGGGGTGAGAGGCAGCCTTGTGCTGAGTTCTTGTCAGTGGCTAGAAATTTGCAACCTGATTAAACAGGGTGGGAGGAACTAAAATCGACATGCAAATTCCCCATGCAGGGTGGAGTCTGAGAGGTTCTTAGAGTCTCTCTGGCTTGGGACAGGGAACTATCTGGCTAGCATCCTCTGAGAAGGTACAACAAGCAGAGGGCCCTGTCAGGATCTGAGCAGGTAAGCAGAAGCCATGACTTGGCTTCTCTGCACACACGTACCTTCACTTCTCTTGTTCTTTTCTAAATGGAACTTGTCTCTGCTGATATGGCGTAGTCTTTGGGAGCTTTCTTTTCCTGGTTTCTTCTTTTTGTGTAAATTATCTTCCTAAACAAAACTGGCATGGTCTCCCTTAAAGCCCACGCACAATAAAGAAAAGATGTTAAAAAGCACATTGAGACAACATACTGCAGTTCATCTCCAGGTCAGGCGAGGTTCGTGTCACCTCAGGTTAGCCCTGAACCTATTCCAGTCTTGAATGGTCCGACAAAACTAGGTGAAGAAAAGCCACGTTTAAGTAAGCTTTATGATTTCTGTCCTGCGCTGCTGTTAGTCGAATGAACAACATTTAGAGAAGTGAAAGTGTTAGTTCTGGAGGGGAGTTTCTTCCCCTTTTATTTTCTGGAGAATTTGCCTCAGAATAGAAAGTCAGAAAGTCATTTTCTTTTTTCTGTGTGTTTGGTAAAGAGTTTTTTGTTTCCTGCGTTCACTACTTTAAGGCATGTTGGAACAAACTCAGGGATCTTCTACTGCTCAGCTCTGGCTCGGCTGGCTCTAGTGCGATGTCACATAATTCTCAATGACAGTGCTACAGGAGCCTGCTTTCTGCACGTGTACATAAGCTTTTTACTTTGCCAGTGAAGTATGACTTTTTATGAATGTATCTTTACCAGCTACTAAACTTTGAACTTGGTGTCCAATTTCCTCACTTGGGAATGACGCTTTGCTGTGAAAGATTAACTCTTGAGCACTGGGTCATTTATTTAACTGGTTAACCTTAGGCCATCAGACTCAGGAGATCTTAAATCTGTGATTTTTTTTTTTTTTTTTTTTTTTTACTAAGTACAAGCTTTCAACTGTGAAAATTTAGCTACATAAATAAAACCATGAAGATATAATTTTTAAAATTTCAAGTGTTTAACAGAGGACAAAATCAATTTCAATCAAAACCTATTGCTATTTAAAGCTGGTGACCTATAAATGTGACCTATACTAATAACCACAGTGTCCTGGAAAAGGTTAAACTGAACTTTAGTTTACATAATAATGAGCAAAGTGTTCACATGACTTGCATGCCAGCACATGACATGTTTGCCTACCTTTGTAAGATTAAGCCATGCTAAATACATGAAATACAAAATTTGACAGTCATTATAAACTAGGAGTTAATGTCTTCACTTTCAAACAAATCATGTCAATTTACTTGCAAATGATAAGCCTAAACAAGGCATAAAATGATGTTTTGAAGCACTAATTGTGTTAGCTGGTGGTATGAATACAGAATAAAGCAGCAATTAGGAGGAGCTAATCAATGCTCTCTCTTGGGGCAAAGGCCTTGAATGAGCATTGCAGCCTGTTGGGGCTTTGCACAGAGGAATAACCCAGAGGCAGACACTATTTCAGGGAAGACACCCCTGTCCAGTATCTCTTCCCACCTCAGAAATAATAAGCCCAGAAGTGGAAACAGCTGCATTTTTGCCTGAAGGGATTAGATTTTAAAATAAAGGCATAAAGCCATGTGCCTGTAAGCCCAGCGCTCGGGCAGTAGGAGAGTCTTGGGCTCCAGAGGAGTCCAGGCTGCATCCTGATGCTCAGTCTCCAAGTACTTTTTAAAAGGAAATAAATTCACATATAGACCACACTGCTGTGTAGATTTTATGTGGAACTGAAATTAGAAAATAGGGAAAAAGAGAAATAAACTGAAGTCATTGATTTTAAAACTCAGGCAACAGGACACAAGGAAGTGGGAAGCTGCTCTGAGCAAGGGGATTTTTCCATCCTAGCTGGGGTTTTCTTTGTGGGTCTGACTGCAAATCTTCAGAAGAGAGGCCTCATTTGCCCTACGCTGTCAGACATACTCGATGATAAACACTGCATTGTCCTCACAGCCCACTTCTGAATCTGTTGGACTGTCATTGGCCTCCAAGGTAAGTAACTCTAACTCCTCAGTATTACTACTAGGACTAAGTAGATGTTGATACAACATACTAACAGTTTTCTTGTCTGTTTTTGGAACAGGGCCTGATTATGTAGTCAAGGCTCTCCCTGAACTCATGATCTTTCAGTCTCTTCCCCAATAAGATTAATGTGAAAACAGATATATATCGCCATGCCCAACACAGTTTGCTTTGTATATTGCTCACATGCTTTGTGATGAGGTCAGAAGCATTATTGTACTTTTTCAGCGCTGTATGTCATAGTAGATGCCCGATCAAATATTTCTTGACTCGGCGGTTGAATAACTACCATTCTTTTCACATTTAGAAGGTCTCTATGTTTGCTCACATAAACTATTGCACATTGTTTTCTCATATTGATTTGTTTTACAACAAAAAAAATGTGTAAGTGTCCAGGAAGACTGTTTTTAGGTTGTTTTTGCTGCTGTTGTTTAAGACAGGGTCTTATGACGTAGTAGTACAAGCTGGCCTGGAACTCACTGTGTGATATACGGCGATGTTGAAATCAAGGCAATCCTCTTGACGCAGCCTCCCTACTGCTGAGATTACAAGCTTGAGCAAACACTTCCTGTTTCATTAGCGGGTGTTGCACCAGTCTGTCACAGACTGAAGGAGTGATAGCAACGTGAAAATGTGGCCACAGCGGCTAACAAATGCTCCCTGCGAGGATGGATGATGGAGTGCTGCTTGGAATATGACAGTGAACTAATCTCAGACTTGAAGTAATCTCTCCCAGAATTTACTTGTCCCCAAAGGAATGTAAAAGTGCCAGCTCAACAACTGAAATCCCAAATGTAAGGCAAACTCTTGACTTTCGGTTTCACTAAAAGTGTTTCTCTAATTGCTCTGGCTAGGACCAGAAAGAGAGGGGGCACGTTTTCCTCGGAGCAGGTTATTGCTCATGTCACACAATTCACTGAGCTGTTTGGCTTCCCCTATTCAGCTGTCATTTTGTTTTAAGGAAAAACCTAGAAAAACAATGCCCCTTAGCAATGTGGTAACCGCCACGAGAAATTAAACATGGTGTAGTGCCCATAGAATAGACTTTAACAGAGCCATCAAGAACTCACTGCAACAGGTCTGTGATAAGGACATGCCTCACAGCAAGATCAAAGAACACCCCAGGACATTTAGGGACAGCCATCAACAGGTTATTAGAGTTTTGCACAGAGCATGGCAGGGTTCTGTGACTCTTAACACAGGACCAGCCTGTATTTGTTAGGACTCTTCTATGTCCAGACCCAACAATTGTTCAGCTCACTGACCTGATTTGCTCTTGAAATCACTGCACAACTCTCCATGCTTTAATAACCAATACTTCTGATTTAGTGCAAAAGTAAAAACGAGTCTGTTGTGACCATATGCTCTTGAGCCCTGGTATTTCATAGCTTCTTCCTGATTCCTTTGAAATCTGTGATCCTTTGTCTACCTGAATGAATCAATGCCTAGCACAGTTAAAAATCCTGGGAGAATTTGGTGGTGTGCTCAGCTACAGGCTATGCCCACTGCCTCGACAGAATTGCAGCAAATCACTCACATACAGCAATGCATGGCAAAGTGTTGAGGCAAGGTCTAAGCAAATGTGCCCAGGCAACTGGTCAGGTCAAGGGAGAGACAAAGTCTCTCCTTCAAAGTTTCCTTCACCAGAGCTTACTCCAGCAGGAACGAATTTAAAATCGAGTTGCAGGCACGGCAAGCATGTTCTATCGTTTTTCAGCCACACATGTACCTAAGTAAACATTGTACCAGACAGAAGATATCCATTATTACAAAATGTATGCTTATAAGGGCTTCTGATGCTTAGAGGAAGAAAGACTACTTTAGCAGAGACAACATGACCGATCTAAACAAAAATGTAGCATTTGATTTAGAACATTGAGGAGTTCCCAAGATCTGAACATATTGGGATAAAAGCAGCATGTTTCAGGGACAGAATATAGACTGAGAAAATTCGCAGAGATAGACAGTCTTGTGAGAGAGACACAGGGCAACAGTATGAATAGACACTGAAAGCATCATCATCTCGTCTGTCCTGTAACTCTGTGTTCCTGTTGGGATTGAACAGAAGAGGAAGAAGATAAAGTGCAGTTTTAAAGCTTCTCCCATGACAGGTTTGAGCACCACCCATTCTAGATTCAGCTTACTGTGTGGTGAAAATAAATGTCACGCAGACTCGGATGGCAGTGATCATGTAACATCAATTCCTAGATGTCCACTACTTACGAAATAGAATATTTGCTATACAGAACTCTGAATTCTCATACTAAGGAGAAACTGTTGTCATCAAATGTATCATGGACTCATGTTCTTCTCTTAAGTCTTTAACATTTAAAACATTTCTTTTATTGCTAGTAGTAGGAAGTGTGTGTGTGTATGACTTATGTACATCAGTGCAGGCACATATAAAGAAAAACTTTTTAGAGTTGGTTCTCTCCTTTCATGTTGTTGAGTCAAGGGCTTTCTTGTTTCTGTCATGCTAACACTCTAGGCTTGTTGTCTCAGGAAATTATGGGTCCTCTGGCTTCCACCTCCCATCTTACTGTAGACCTGTGGGATTGCAGATGTGTGTCATCACACCTATCATATGTATATTATATATTATTAAATTATATATTTATATTTTATATATATATTTTATTTTTATTCACTTTACATCCTGGCTGTAGCCCCATCCCTCCTCCACTCCCAGTATAACTATCCCTCCCTTCTCTTCCCTCCTCACCTCTTCCTCAGGAAAGGGGAGCTCCCTTTCTCACCGACCCCAGCTCATCAAGTTGCACCAGCACTGAGAATGTCGTCTGGCAGATTCAAGCAGTGACTTCTAGTAGCGGAGGCAATAGAGACTGAGGAGAACACGAGAACACCTTCTGACTAGGCTAGCCTCCTAGTAGAGGGAGTGGAACAACAACCCACCCACAAAAAAAATCTGCAGCCCAAAATTGACCTTGTCTACAAGATGTGCAGGGATAAAGATAGAGCAGATAAAGCAGAGACTGAGGAAAGGCCCAACCAATGCCTGGCCCAACCAAAGACCTACCTTATGGGAGAGTGCCAACCCCTGACACTATGAACTATACTCTGCTAAGCTTGCAGACAGGAGACTGACAGAGTTGTCCTCGAGAGGCTCTACACACCTAGCCTTTTTTTTCACACCTTGCTTTTTTCTAGGGTTCAGAAAACCAAACTTGTTGTAGGTGACTATTAATATTTACTCTTGATATATCTTCTGGTAATTCTGCTGTTAGTCCTAAACAGCTGTATAACCAAATCACCACACTGGGTTTATTTAGTTAATGTAGAACACAATACTCGGCAATAGTTTCTCCATCCTAAACCTCCAAGCCCTCATAGTTTCCTAACATTTAGATTTCCCACATTATACTTGCTTTTAGTGATATCTTAGGTCCAGTCCATCTCTCAACGTAGTTCCAAGATCTCTCCTCCAGCTCTGCTCTCCAAGCTCTCTCTCACCCTTTCTCCTTCCACTCATTTCCTGCCTTTTGGCTCCTCCCATTGCACAACATTGTAGCTAGTTGCTTTATTTTGGCCTGTTTACACAAAGCTGATACAGGACGTTTAGAATAAGTATCACAATGCAATATCGGGATTGAAACCAGAGAGTGGGGGGCAGGGGGGAGAAATCAGCATTTGAGTGAAGAAGGGTAAGGTGTATACATTTCAAAAAAACATTATACCAACACAAACTCATGGTTGAAAGACTTATGCAGCAATTGCTTTCCCTTGCTTAGCCATCTCGCTAGCTTTCTGTTAAAATCTTATAATTCTTCACAGTACATAGTGATTTTCATTTTATACAAATTTATGTAATGCCATTTCTTTGCTCAAAACTCTCCAGTGTTGTGCTGAGTAAGCACCTTTTCTATTCAAGCATCACAAAGCGTCTCAATCACAGAAGTCCTCCATAACTAACATCTGCCTCTGTCTACTTTAATCTATTTCCCCTTCAACACTCCAGGGTATTGGTTGACCAGGCCCAAGGTCATTTCCTGCCCTGGAACTTTCAGTTACTATCAACTTCCTTCAGAGCTGGATCTTCACTGAGACAAATGCAAGCGGCCCCACTGAGGCTGACCACAAAGACCGCAGCTGCGTTCCGTTATTCTGTCCCCTCAGCTCTTAAGATGATGTACAATATGTACTACAGTATTTACTCTCCATTTCCCCCCCACAAAATGTAAGCTGTGCAAGAACTGAAACTTATAGCCTCATGCCCTGCCCTTCCACCAGCACCAGGAGCCACATGAAGGGAGACTGACAAGTATACTGACAAGGCTAAGTGAGGGAACATGTAGTTGAAGACAACAGAACTGCCACGTGTGTAAATCAAGTAAGTCTAAGGAGTGGGTGGCTGTCTTTAAAACCATTCCTACTCAATTTCCAAAACTCCAAGTGTAGGGGAAACGTAAGTGAATAAACCGACAGATGAATGAAGTTAAAAATATGATTACACCCATGAGCTGGCTCAGCTGGTAGCATTGCTTGCTGCACAGCCTGGTTACCCAAATTCAATACCCATAGTGCAAAGAGAGAACTGATTACTAGCAGTTTTCCTCTGACGTCCACGTGTATGCCTCCATACACGTTATACACGTACTACATTGACTAATGAAGTAAAATTTAAAATTTAAATAAATAATGAACCTCCAGTCCTACTCCAGAAAGTTTAAGCCACATTCCTGAAATGCTAGAGAGTTCCAGACGATTATGAAATGGAGTGGAATGTGGTTTCAAGAAACACCACGAGGTCATTCTTGCCCAGAGGTGGTCAAGAAGAGGATCAGGAGGCTGAATTGCTCAGGTATCACAGGAAGGGAAAGAACATGTCTTTCATCAATATCATTTGCACATATGCTAAAGACTCTTGTTAAGGTTTTAATATGTTTACATGGATAATTAGGTGCCTGCATTTAAAAGAAAAAGTATCTTCCTTGTCACAACCTAGCAAACTAGATAGAATTGGATGAAGATAAATTTGTGGTCAGTTTTTGCAGATAAGCATGGAGTGAGGGCTGGAGACATGATTCAGAGACTGTGAGTACTTGTTTTTTTCACACAGGACCTGGCTTTGGGATCCCAGCACCAATGTAGCTAACTGTAACTTGAGTTCCAGGGATCTGATGCCCTTCCCTGACCTCCGTGGACACTGGACACATGTGATGCATACACATACATGACGGCAAACAACCATACACACAAAATAAAAATAAATAAGTCCTGGTATGGCATTAAAAAGTAATGGAAGAGGAAGGTAAGAGATATGGTTCAGTCAGGAAAGCATTTGCCATAAAAGCATGAGGACCTGATTTCAGATCTTCAGCCCCCACAGAAGGCTATCGGTGCCGTAACATGCATTTGTAACCCTGTAGGAGGGGAAGACTAACAGATCCCTGGAGCTCACCAGCAAGCCACTCTAGGCTATTGGTGAACTCCAGTTTCAGTACATTCCTGTGTCAGGAATGTAACTGAGTATGAGCACAAAGCCAACACGGACCTTTAGTCTCTGACTGCACACACACAGATTTGGAGTCCCCTACACACACACATGTACATACACACAGAAACAAATGGCATACGTGCATACATACATACATACATACATACAGCACAAACATACACACTCAAAAAACAGCAACACTAAGAACAAAAACTCTTCATCAGCTTTGCACTTACTGTTTTTGTTTATTTACATGAGGCATCTCTATGTTTCCCTGGCTAGCCTGAAAATCTCTAAGTAACCCAGGTTGACCTCAAACTCACAGAGGCTTGCCTCTGCCTCCCTATTGTGCCACCACAGCGAGCATAATAATATTTTCAAACATCTTCAAGTTACTGCCATTTTCTTCTTTTTATATATGACAAAAATCTCAGGATGACGTTTAAGGCGAGTAATTACATTATTCCTTCCACCGTGTGGGTCTCAGGGATGGAACTTGGGTTTTCAGGCTTGGCAGCAAGGGCCTTTGCTCCTGGTGCCCTATCTCTAGGCATTGAGTTTCCGTATGTAGATCATCCTGGTGAGACACTCACTATGTAGCCTAAGCTTATGCCTGTTTCTCAGCAGTTCTCCGACCTCAGCCTTCCGGTTCCGGGATTGCAGCTGAGCACCACCACTCCTGGATGTAATTCTATTGCTTCTGGGATTAAAAAAGTGGGAATCTCGTTTTAAAAATCATGGTGCACTCCACAAAAAGCTAATATCCTGCAGAAAAATGATGATGGCTACATCCTTTCACCCTTTTACTTCCTTCTTAGGTAACAGTTTATGATGGAGCCCTCGCCTCTCGAGCTGCCTGCTGATGCTGTCCGGCGCATCGCAGCTGAACTCAAATGTCACCCAACGGATGAGAGGGTTGCTCTCCGCTTGGATGAGGAAGACAAACTGAGGCATTTTAGGGACTGTTTTCACATCCCCAAAATGCGGGATCTGCCTTCAAGTAAGAATACCGGGAAGGGGCTTTATAAATCAATTTAGCAATTAATTTATTTCTGCTAAAGCATGTGACTGTCATAAATCTTTGAAAACCATTGTTCCACTACATAATAGAGCTGTTAAAATTGTTTCTGAGGAAACAGCAGGCCCTTGATGCTACTCTATCAACTTATCCACCTACCTGAGCCTCATGTGCTTTATGTTTTTTTATCCTTCTCTGAAAATAATGCTGACAGGGTGCTTATGCTGTCGTCTACGTCTCTGAACAATGAGGCGGCTGATTGAAAAGTACAGGCAGAGGCGTTTGCTTGTTCTCGGCACTTAAAGCACAAAGCGGTTCTTTTCAAAGCGATATTAGAACATCTCTTATTTTGTAGCATCTCATTGATGATAGCATGGTGCTTGTCTGGGAGCTAATGCGTTTGCGGCTGTGAGTCTTAGGAGGCAGATTCTGTGAATAGCTATCTTCACATGCTATAAGCAAAGGCAACAAGTGTAAGGGCTGGAAGAAACCCACACTGCATCTCTGATATAACAAAGAGACCTGAAAATTTATGTTTGGGGGGGGGAATCCTGTTTTTAAACATAGGTAGCACAGGAACAGAAACTGTGAGGCATCTTATGTCAAGCTCCATTGTTTTACATCAGTAAAAAGGCTGACTGGAAGAAATCATGAAAACCGCCTTGCTTGATTTGTATAGTCCAACTTCCTTTATTTTTCCTTCAAATTTAACAAAGTGGATACAATTTCAAACACTTGGAATCAAAGAATCTTCAAGAACATCATTTCAGGATAAGGTTGGGTCACATACTCCCATTTGGCTTGCATTATATAAGCACCCCCGTGAAACATGACACCTATGCGATCAAGTCGTGTGAGACTGTCATATTTAGCACCAGGCATCATTTTGGAAAGATGAAAGAGAAGTGCGAATCAGGTATCATAGGACTGTACACTTAAAAATAGATGAGATGTTAAATTTTATTGTGTGCATTGTAGTAAACTGCTTTCCTATGTGTTGCAAGTAGAAGTTTCTGGGACTGGAGTGATTTCTCGGTGAATAGGAGCACATACTGCTCTTCTAGAAGATCAGAGTTCAATTCCCAGCACTCATGTCAGATAATTCACAGCTGCCTGTAATCCTAGTTCTAGGAGAATTCAACACCTCTGGCCTCTGTGGAACCCTGCATTTATGTGCATTACCCACACAGAGAAGTCAGACACATAATTCTGAAAAACATTTATTTTTTTAAAATAAAGGTTTCTTTTAAAAACAGCATTACATATGTAATCATTTAAGAGTTGATACCAAAAAAAAAAAAAAAAAAAAAAAAAAAGTTGATGCCATTGTCCCGACTGTAAGAATAGTACCTGCTTTGACTTTTTTATTTTATTTATTTATTTTTTTGTCCAGTAGACTTGCTTGGTCAAGTCATTGCTGATTTTTAAAGAGACTAGAAAGAGGCACAATAAATTGATTCAATAAAGAATTTAAATTTGTTTTAAAAAATAGTTTCAGGTGGCAAACAATTTTAGATCATCAAGACAAAGCATGATTTCCTCACCAGCAGACTGAGTGTTAGACAGTGACTTTTTTTAGAAATTCTAATCCCAGAATTATTTAATCACAGCCTTAGGGTTAGACCATTTATCACCTATTCTAGATGAAATCAGGTAGTATATTGGAGAAGGAACAATTAATCTCCATTCTTGTATTCTTTCTATATGTGTTTTTGTCTAAGGATTCACCCATTCAACAAGAATTTCATCATTTTCTTTATTTGACTTACATTTTTTTAGAATAACTGGGGGAAATAAGTAATGATTTATAGCACACTTAGTTTTTTCAATCCTTAAATACCCTAGACATTAATACCCCAACTGAGATGTAGCTGCCAAAGGTTTTCCTTTTTTCTTTTTTCAATTCCTAGACTGTGTTCTTGCCTTGAAGCATTTTGCCTGTGCTTTCCTTCTAACAGTTTTCAAGTTGGTAGTCTTTTACGACACATTTTGAATAGGTTACTCTGCAGGTTGGGGGATAAGTCTTCCGCTTTAAAGACTACAAACGTAGAAATGCACGCAGAAATCCTATTTTATCCAGCCTAGTTTGATAAATTCTGCCTTTTCTTAATTTTTTTTATTGAGGGTTTCCTATTTTAATCCTCTGTTTTTACACCATTTCTACCCCTCTCCTCATTCCAACACTTCGTATACTCCCATATCTCCTCTCGAATCATGACCTACATGTGTTTTATATGTATATATACACATATATATTTGGTATATATCAAATACATCCATATTTATGATACTCCTTGTCAAAAATTAAGTAGTAGATTTTTTCCTGGGTCTTCTTTTCTGCAAAGTCTGCTTGCCTAATTATGTTCCAGTACCATGCTGTTTTTGTTACTGTGGTACTGTAATATAATTTGGGATTGAGTTCTGGAATGCGTCCAGTATTGCTCTTTATAAGAGTTTGTAAGAGTTGCTTTTGCTGTTTGGAGTCTTGTGCTCCACATGGTTTTCATGGTATTTTCCAAATCTGTAAAGAATGACAACACTTACATTTACTCAGCAGGTTGCTTTTGTTAAATAGGTATTTTCATTAGATGTAAGTATATATTTTATATACATACATTATGAAAATGCCTATTATATTAAATATATAAAATATGATAGATGTATTCTGGGCTAATGAGCTGAACAGACGTTTTTCAAAAGAAGAGATACAAAGGACCAGATACTTGAAAGATGTTCAACATCCTTAGCCATTATGAATTGAAAATAAAAAGTTCCTTACTATTCCATCTCACCCCAGTCAGAATGGATAATATAAAAACAAAAAAGCAGAAGAAGGAAAGAAAGAAAGAAAGAAAGAAAGAAAGAAAGAAAGAAAGAAAGAAAGAAAGAAAGAGAAGAAAAGAAAGAGGGAAAAATCAAATAACAACAAATACTGGCAAGGATGTAGGGAAAGAGGAACTCTCATTCTCCACTTATAAGAATGTAAACAGATGCAGCAACTGTGAAAATGAGTGTGGAGGGTGTTCAAAATCAAAGTCAGAATTACCATGCTACTCTGCTTTGTCACTCTTTCTTAACTATCTGAAGGACTCCAAGTCAGCATGTCACAGAAATGCTTGCATCTCTAAATATTTTTGTGTGTTTGTTTGCTATGCTATCTATAATGGCCAGGAAACTGAACCTGCATCTCATGTCTAGCAACAAAAGAATGGATAGATAAATATGCTACATGGGATGTAATGTTATGCAACTATAAAGAGATACAAAAAAAAAAAAAGCCACATTTCCAGGAAAGAGATCAGCTCATTGTGCTAATAAGCAAAGTAATTAAATATTTGAGCACAAATATCACATGCTTTCTCTTCTTTGTGCATTCAGAATAGAGGGTGGTCATAAAGCTAGAAAGGAGAGGGGGAGCTCATAAGGGAGAGAAAATAGGTAATGGGATACAAGAAGCAGAAGGAGAACTATGTGTGGGAAAGAAGAAAACCAGTCATAGGGAAGCAGACAGCAAGGAGGGGAGGAAAGCAGAAAGCCATGAGAACAAAGGATACTGGCATCTGAGTGTGGAAATGCCACAATGAAATCTATTACCTTACATGCTAACATAAAAATTAAAATTTAAAGTTCTTCAAGAAAAAAATATACAACCTACAGATTTCTAGGGTTTTTTTTTAATTATTAAATATATGTTTAGTATAGATTTCCAGTGTAATTGTTCAAAGCAAATAAGCTTAACAAACATTTTCTGAAATACTATTATGGAATTGATGAGAGTGTTCATACTAAGCTGGTGATATTCTTAATGCTTGACTTTATTCTGCAGGGGATAGCCAAAAATGGAAGGAAGGACAAAAAGAAGGAAGGAAGGAACAAAGGAAGGAAGGAAGGGAAGAGGGAAGGTGGAAGAAATTAATGAAGGATAGGGAGGGAAGGAGAGAAGGATGAGAAGAAAGGAGAAAGTATACATGAGTATTATATAGTGAGTGTGAGTAAGGGGCAATAAGACCAAAGAAGCAAAAAAAAAAAAATGAAGGTGAGGAAAGGGGCTGAGCATCAAAAAATAGTTGAACTACTTATTAAACAGTAGATTTAATGTTAGCAGACACTGCACCAGCCTGGCTTTATAGTATATATTAAATACCAGTGACGCAGTTCACATAGTTAGCTTGTTTTAGGCAACTAATTACCAAATAAATAAGAAAACTAAATTCTTGCTGCTCTGCTATGTGTGGCACTGATTTGGAGTTCAGAAAGGTAACAGCTAGGATTCACAGTGGTAGAAAGCAAGTAGGGACAAACAGAACACAGAGCAGGGTATGTCCTCTTCTTTGAGGAGGGTTCAGACTTTACCTAACATGTCCCCACATAACTGAAAAAAAAAAGAGTACTGATAAAATGTCTTTTTCTTTATTTAAAAAAAAATATTTACTTAAGTGTATATGTGAGGCTGCATTACTTTAGGAACACTACATACCCACGAGTGCCTTTGCAGGGTAGAGAGCATCAGATCCTCTGGAACTGGGATTCCAGGCTGTTGTGAGTTTCCTGATGTGGGTGCTGAGAATCAAGGTTCTCTGCATAAACAGTAAATGCTCTCAATTTCCACACCATCTTTCCAGCCTCATGTTTTCATTCTTAACAGTCATGTGCTGAGCTAACAATTCTAGTACTATAAAGGAAAATGGGAGTAGAATTAGGGAACAGCCAACAGCTGGGTTTACACTGAAAATGCACATTTGAGAGTTATCAACATTTAGGTAACATTTGAAAATTTAGGCTTGAATATTAGGAACTATTCATGCCACTGGAACAAAATTTCTGGAAATGAAACTGTTGTATGAGCATGAAAAGCAAACTGTTAATGAAAGCAGGAAATCAGGGAACATGTAATGTGTGTAGGAAGGCATTCAAAGACATTAGAGTGCTTCCCAGCTTCTGCTATTACAGAGACTGAGTCCAGCCTCCTATTCCAGCAGTTA